ACATATATTTAGACCGATAGGTTCTTGATTGGTTCGTTCTCAGAGTTTTTTATTGCTAAATCAGTATGTAGCAAAGACAACTGTTGATAAGCGTCTGCAGCGTGTTGGAAATACTTTTCATGATGCAACACGTCTGCAAACCATCTAGAAGCATTGATTTGTCATTAATGTCGAAGATCTGGATCTTGACTCTATATGAATTCAGAAGATATCCAAACTGATTTCAGAGTGATATATGTCTGCCTCGCCTTTTTGATTCTGGTTTTGACATGCTTATCTGTGCCGACTGCCCGTAGTCAAAACGATGCTTCCTAGATAAGTGGAGAAAGTAGCCTCTTTCACATTTCTTCCATTGACAGTGAATGGTGCTTGTTGTTGTTAATTGGTTAAAGCATTCGGTATGCATCTGTTCTGTTTCAAATGTTAAACGCTGTTACAGGATTGGTATGCATAACCTCCTTGTTTAAGAAGAAAGACTAGATTGACTGAATGCATTCTTTGTTGCTTGGCATTACTTCATTTCGATTATTATTTATAAAGATATTATAGATAAGCGAGTTAAGCGAATTAACTCGAATCTTCTATTAGTGTGTATAAAATATTCTGATTTATTAAAAACCGTAATTGTTAAAATCACATGATAACTTAAAAGCATCCTCTGGATAAGATTATGGTACAAGGTGACATTTATTTTCAGATCTTATAAACGTAAAGAAAAAGCTACCTTCTGTTACTCTCTACTCAGAAGTTGATATTTTGTTCTGTGATGCAGTATGCATATGTACGTATGTGTGCGTGTGTTTAGTATTTTGTCACATTATAAACAGACGCCAAGTTAGTGCCAAATATTGTAGTAACTATGAGAAGAAATCTTCGCCTATTAAATATGCTTCCCTTTCCCCCCCCTGAAATGAAGGAGAGGTGTACTCATCTTATTTTAGAATGAAGTGATTAACCACGTCAGTCACTTCATTTAGCTTGACATGACAGTTCTGTAATTGAACTGAACTGTCTGAAAGCTAATCAAAATGTCACTCAGACCACTGTAATGAGAAAAAGGTTTTTCTTACAAGACTACTTACATAGTACCATTAAGTTTCTTATCGAAATAGAAAATGAAGGCTACAGATAGTCATAGATATGCTTAGAGGTTATTTAATGTCCTGTATGGTGAAGTTTATGGCAGAGCATTTTTCAGCAGTTCTTAGTGTTCGTTTGATCAGGAAAAATATTGAACACTTGTACGTGACAGCATTGTGTTGAGTTGTATACTCCAACTCTCGTCAAAACATTGATAAGACCTTTCTACACACTAATATTAATAAGTTTTGGTCTATTGATGACAAGTAAACCTTTCAAAACAAAGGTATGCTATTCCATAAATGAATTGTTTATTATCATGGATGATATTCCTGACTGCGAGGAACTGGATCATGCAGTAGATCATGTGTAGGAGAAGACACTCGGAGATCTCGGCTTCGTGAACGATTTATACTGACTGTCTTACTATCTCGAAGATCTACAGGTGAAAACCAACAATTTATCAGAAGGAGAAGGGAAAAAGAACTTCATGTGATGGAGATACCTGAAAACAAGCATCATCACTATCAAGGGGAGAAATATGAAGGAATTCATCTCTTTCACTTATCTAGGTAGCATCATTCCAACTAAAGAATGTCGGCATAGATGAGGATGTCAAAGGTAGTCATGATCAGAAAGGCACTGCAGACCTTTATTGATCTGAAGTCAGCGTGGAAATCGGATGCATTTCGCATAAGTCGACAACTCTACATAGTACACAAACTTTGTGTGCCCATCATAGAAAGCATTTCCAACTGGTTATTACAGACTTTCATTAACCACAGCTTTACTCGACACTGAAAACCAGTTGGCCGAAAATGATAAGCAGTGAGGAACTCTGATAGACAACCAACTAACCAGAAGGAAATAGAGATGAACTGGACACATACTGAGGAGACAACTGAGTTACCTTACACACATGCCGGTCTGTCAAATGGAACACAGGTGGGAAATGACGAGATGAACATTAGCATGAGAGTGACATGGATGGAATCATGCGAGGGGCAAATGAAAGTTTACGGAAAATTATGCAGCCATTCGAAAAAGACTGCACAAAGCACGATGAAGTGGTGATTTACTACTGAAGTTACATGTTCCACTGCGAATACAAGGGAATACTACTACTACTAATAATAATATAGTTCACATAGATTTCATTCTCATGCTGAACTACTGGGATAGGTAATAAAATGAACAGAGTAAAATGAATATTCTAAATAAGAGGGATTTCACTGCTACAACATTTAAATTGTTTCAAGCTCAGGATAAAACAACACTAATTTTAGAGTTTATAAAACTGAGTGATAATTTATACGACATATTGTGAAATTGAATTCGTAACTCAGAGCACACATGTATGAGAGACATATAAGATACATCTTTACTGTATCAATTAATGATTCTACCCATTTTCCTGGTCTGAAATGACTAAGTGGAGTTCCAACGGGCGATTCATTGCCTGAAGGTCAACTATTTAAGCCGATGAGCCATATCTCAATGATATATATAATACTGATAAGAGGCCTTGGGAACCATCAACGCTAATGTACCCCAAAGGATTTTGCCAGCATTGTGTTGATCTGATCAACCGAGTCATTGAAGCCAAACCACGAGAGTGAATTTTTATTTTTCAAATTCTGCAAATAATTATTCATAATAAGTAATAATAATAATCTTGTATTAGTCACTTAGTAAGTAAAATTAGGATTATTCCAGTTAGTAATTGTATGCAATGTCGACGTCGATGGCTCAGAGTTGTAGAATACTCCTGAATCACGTCACACGTGGGGTTCGAACCCTCGACCAATGCACTAATAAACTCCACTTAGTTGATGAAATGCCCGGTAAACAAGAAAATGTGAAACTGGAACTTCAAAGCCTGAAGCCCTTTGTTCCATTGTAGTAGACGCAAAAGAATAAAGGGAAAAATAACAAATGCTGGTGTTCACAGTAAGTTTTAAGCTTACATATATGATGCGGAGTTAAAAATGAGGAATACTTATGAAGTGTTGATACATTTTATAGAAGTTATATGTATAACCCAAAGTTGTTGAATAAGCGAAGTTCCTGATTAGTATAGAAAGTCAACTTAACAGAAAATTTTTAAAAAAGGTGTTATTTCATTTATTTTTAACCTTGGTATTTTATATCATGCATTTAACAACAACACCTAACGACACTTAGAAACATATATACAGTGACGTGATACATCGCATACACGTAAGGTGGACACAGACATACAGACATTATGTCACAGTACGTTTGTTACATGAATGAATTAATATACACATATATGTAAGGTGCATTTCACTTTGTATTTTATTTTATTTATGATTAGAAATTAACTGTGCTGCATGCAACAGGGATGGTTATATGCGCGAACTCACACACACACACGCACACACAAAGACAAACATCTATCCAATCTCTCATTTACGTACTCACAAACACAAACACTTTTGATTCTAGATATGATAGAGAAGATTTGTAGCTTAGGTGGATGATTTTGATGTGGTTGTGTTCTCTCAGCTGGATGGTTAATTTGCGAAACTTTCATCACCCTACTGGGTGACATCTTCAGAGCATACTTCCTGTTGATTGGACCTTGGACGTGATTGATTGTTTTTGTGTGTTTTCACACCTTCTAGGCAGCTACTTGTATTGGAACTGATTGTTTCTTTGACTTGAAGTTTGACCCTTTGTGTGTGTATGTGTGAAGTTTCTTTCTTGTCAGTTAATAAATTTTGTCTATTTTTGTGTGTCTATTAATTGATGATTCACTGGAATTCCAAGCTTCTAACAATTCTCTAGTATTCTTGTTGTTTCCTCTGTCTAATATTTGACAACGTTCACCAGGAGAGATGATTAATAAACTCATGGAGAAATCTAAAAGCTCACTTCAAATTGAAGTATGCGCTGAAGATGTCACCCAGTAGGGTGATGAAAGCTTCGCTAATCAACTATCCAGCTCAGAGAACACAACCATATCAAAAACTTTTGATTCTACTCAGACGTGCTTACATACTCATACAAACATATACGCCATACCCACACACACATACACACAAGTCCACTTAATATGCTTACAGGAAGATTTTATTTGACGTGGAGGAAATCCTAATGAAGTTGTTGTATTTTTTTGTTGCTAAAAGCAGTCATAGTGATGCATCAAATAGACTAACATGATCATTGAGATTATTTATGAACTCTTAAGTAATAAATTATTTAGTTGTTTTTAGTATAAAAATAAATGACGTTGTAGTAGCATTAGTAGTATGAGTAAAGTGTAAACATTTTATGAATTTTAACTGACTACTGTTGTTGTAACTGATTTTCTAATAGATGAATTAGAGGGTATGAGTGGAAATACGATTAATAGTCAATGAAGTTATGATATTGTGAGAGATAATAACACCATAGCAAGTCTTGATTCTTTTCACTTCATGTAATACTTCATAAATAATAATTACACTCTGATTTTACATGGAATAATTAATAGTTGAGCAAAATTACGGTTAAAAGTGGACACATCATAAATTAGAGCTGTGTGGTATGTACAATTCTCTGTCTATAAAAAAAAAACAACTTTCAACCCATAACACATAAGACTGACACACTAATATTTCCAGACCGAAGTGCTTCATGAATAATAATTTTAGAAATTTACCATAACACTGACAATAAGTTAAATGTGTAGTTAGAAGGTGTCAATTTTACTTTTTTTTAAAAAAAATGTCTCCAGGATCAAAATTTACAAGCTAGTGATGAGGAGTCTTTAAGTCAACCTAAAAAGAAATGCTCACTACTAACTATTGATCAATAATTCATTCTCTGAATAATGATCAACTGAGAGTCAGTTGAATACTTTTCATTATACCATTATTATCATCACCACCACGATGACCACCACAATAACTCACCTGTGTTTGTAGCCTTGACAAACCTCTTATCCATAATATTTGACCTGTATTGCGTAGTTCAGCACTGCCCAAATCTTCCCTATCCTCATCTTCCTCCTCTTCTTCATCATCATCTTCTTCTTCCTCTTCGTCTTCTTCACCTTCTGGTTGAGTGTATATCGCGCCTAGACCACGAGCTACTGCATTAGCTGCTTTACTAACAAATCCTGTACTTGCACGATGGCCTAAACCACCATCTGCAATCGGAGTGTGCGTGACATCTTGACCGACTAGGCCAGCTGTTTCTGTTCCTATAGCATCTTGTGTTGTAATCAGGGTTGACCGTCTTCCTTTAAGCGGCTTTCGTTTTCTTTTCGGTATAACCCAAATTGGTATTGTAATAACAACCTTTTAGAAAAAAGAAATGAGGGGGTAAAACACAGCTTTAGTTAAAGAACAATCACTGTGTGTGTATATGTACACACATATGAAAACATACATAATCTCCATTACGTTAGTCTGTGGAGAATTTAAACCGAAGAAATCGAACACCACATCTGAACTTTCTATAATTTATCAATAATCAATTTTTTTAAAGTCGAACGATACTATTTACAAACTCAAGTGTTTATCTTGCAACTCTCAAATTACTTGTTCTACTGAAACCAGAGACAAGTTAAAACAACAAACTTACTGTCCAAAATATGAGAGATATATTTCAAAATTAGGAATGTAGAGCAACGATGACTGCTTAACTAGCTAGGATGCGTAGCATACCAAATGGTGTGGATGCTTCACTGCGTAACTTAAGTCTAAGCAATTGACTTAAACACTGAAGGTCAGCACCCAGTGTTGAATAAAATGAGCTCTGTAGACTTACAGCGTCGGTGGTTCATTGGTGCTGGGTTCAACCCCCACCAGACTCACTTCTACACCTCGATTAACCCGTAGTAAGCCAGGTAAAGAGGGAAATTGGACGTGAGGTTAACAACCCCTTCCCGTAAGAAATAAACCCTATTGCTACTGAGACGTCAAAGCTTAAGCTGCAATCCCTATATTCCCCTGGGAGTGCAAAGGAATAAAATTAAAAAATATATATATAATGTGAACTTATAATTGTGGGGAACTATTTACCGCTACAAATTTATCTTATCGATGCATAGATAAGATTTGCAATTGGTTGTGTTCTGTGAGCTGTTTGGTTTAATTGCGGAGCTTTCGTCGACCTTCTGGACAACATCTTCAGCGCAAATTTTAGCATCCTAAAACTCCTCAGTGAAACCAGCCAGCTGAGTGAACATAACGAATTGCAAATCATCCACCTAAGCTACAAATATGCTCTGTTATTTCATATAGATAAGATGCAGATTTTATGATATTAGATAGTTGGAGGCAATCGGCAGGAAGCCTTGGACCTAGGTTTCATGCTAGCTGGCACTCACCAGCAAGGCGTATCTGCAACCTCGAAGGAACTCATGTCCCTTATGAGATTCGAACCCGCGTCACTGAGTGCTGCAGTCAGAGACCTTACCACTGAGATATCCGGGCTAGCGATTGACGAGCTACCTAGAATGGTGGCCACATTGGAAATCTGACTGAAAGAGTTCAGTCTGCACCAATGAAAGGACTAGACATGTCACACTAACTGCTAGTGTCTAATAAAAATGCAAATTTTATATTCAGAATCATAGAATACTACTGAAAAACACGCCGAGAGTTCAAGTAGGTTTAACGAATGTAACACTGAAAATTTGATCCTTTTTATATAATTATCATTTATATAATGGCCAAAGAAAATAATGAATTTTAATGAATTTTAACTAACCTGACCCCAAACTAGTGTACCGATACCGAAAAATAAACACCATAGCCAATGTTCCAGTGCTAATGGGCAAGTACTAAATGCATATCCTCCAAATTGGATAATTACAACCTATTAAAAAAGGGGAATAAAAAATAATTAAAACAAAACTATGCATATCAAATATCTCCTTATTAACCTAATTATAAATAGAAATATTTAGTAAAGTAAAAAAATCTAGTAATTACAGACTAGGTCATAATGAACTTTTGGTTGAAGTAATTCTTATAGATTAACTTCAATCAGAAGACAGTTAGGAAACAAATGCTTGGAGATGTGATATACAGCTATTATGTTTCGCTTCTATGTTGTTTTGTCAAATATTATTACTAATATTATTTTAACAGTAGTTATAATGAAGTTAATTCATATTATATGCTACAAAATATACCTGATACCTATTCCACGTTTAGTTATGTTCAGTTATTCTTCTTGTGCATATAAATGCTTACAGATCTAAAGTCCTTTGTAGATGTAACAGACTAGAAGTAGTATCAAGTATGCTTCAATGCAAATTAATAGTTATTGGGGTAGCAAGCAGTACTGGTTATTTCCCCGATACCTCTAATCATTTGCTTTACCGGATAAAACTGTTTATATCTCAGAATGCCAGCTATCCTGAGGGAAACTTCGGAGGGAACCAGCTACTAGATGATTCGATTGGTCTCTCGCCCCCTATACTCACGTTACACGATAGATTTGCACGTCAGAATCGCTACAGTCATCCACCAGAGTTTCTTCTGGCTTCAACCTTCGCAAGACATAGCGGTTAGGTAACCCACCAACCATGCACATGGTCCCCGGCCGGCGCACTCCTTTACCTCAGCCAGAAGTAAAGCTGGTGAAGAGAGGAGGTTGGCCATGAGGCTAGCAATCCCATCCTGTAAAGATAAACATTGCTACAGAAACTTCAAGCCTCTAGCTTGAAGCCCTATATTCCACTGGGGAACGTGAAGGAAAAAAAGCAGTACTGGTTAATGTGTGTGTGTTATTCAACTACTTATATTAATCAATCAAATCCTTGCAAATCAACACTTGAAAATTAGGCTCACTAGTAAGTGACTTACAGAATGAAGTTGCCTGAAGTTCCAGTGTGACCAGGCGTGACTAGAGTGGCTTACCAAATAGGATGTGGGGACAGATACACACCGATGACACCAACTGGCGGTCACACTATATGTGGCAAATCCTCAGAAGTTAGAATTCATGGGCTATAACAATCTGTCACTAAGACTGGATGGTCGACGAGCTGGCCTTGTAACCTGAAGAATCTGGGTTCGATCCCCTGTAGCATCATGGGTGTGTACTGATGAAGAGCTTTAAACTAAAACTGAACTGCTGTTCGGGAGTACCATATTTTCAATGGCTTCATCATGAGCTGACGTCGGTTAGAGAACCACTGGTCTACGAGCTCGCCTTATAACCAGAAGGTCCTGAGTCCAAACCCTGTCGGTAGGTGCGTACCTCTGAAGAGTCCCAAACTGGGACAAAACACTTTTCCAGTACTCCCAGCTGGTTTTTCATTTGTTCGCTAACTGATGTCAGCTCATGGTGATATTCTGTAACCAATCAATCAAATTCCTGCAAATCAACACTTAGTAATCAAAATTATGCAGTTTGGCTTGCTTTCTTAATTGCCACATATTTTGTGATTTGAGTAATTTCAGTTTTTTAAAGGAAGACATTTAGTGATAGTCCACCTGAAAGTGTGCAAATTGCAAAGTGAGTATTTGATTAGTAAAATAACTCAATTATTTCATTAGATTATTATTATTATTATCATCATCATCATCACTTTTTTCTCCACTCAACTTACTTGTAGTAGAAATGTTGAAATCCAGATAATCACAAATAGTATATTATTCATTAGACCAGCGAAAATATTACGTTGTCCATGTATTTTTCTAGCATTTATCTCATTGAATAATGTCATCATAACAAATGAATTAAATATAACTGTAAAATGTTCAGTTGGACGATTTATACCTTTTGCACTTAAACCACGTCCATTTTCTACATCTAATAAATGCTCACCTGAAAGGAAATCAAGCAAAATATTAATAATAATAATAATAAAAACATATTTCATGAAGTAATTCCTGATTGCATCATCACTAAAAATAAGTATCCCTTTTGAAGTATGATTATGGAGCCTGTTATCACTGCATATCGACTGATGAAAAATGTATTAACCAGATAATTGAAAGTACAGGATAAAAATACACTTTAGCGGATCATTTAGCTGTATACAACAGACCTTGAATTTATGCACTAATGGTTCCAAGGTAGAATGCCCTCCAGCCAGGTATGTAGTCCGGAGTCCAACACTCCAACACTGATGCATTCCTAAACGTCACTTATCTGGTAGTGATCCTGGAATGGAGGCTAGAAATCCCACTCCTTAAAAACAAATCAACTTCTACTGAAGTTTCAAAGCTTGAAACTCTTCCTATCTTCAACTGGGGACGCAAAGGAAAGGGAAAAAAAACGACAATAACAACTGTAAGATTGAAATTTCATAGGGAAAGAAAACAGCCTGTAGAATTGATGAATCATTCATTGGTTAACTGAATTCATTTTCAATGATGATTTACTACCCTGAAAGGTTTAATTTGCCGACATTTCAATAAAGTAGCAGAAAACATTAAGAACAAAAACAAACAAACAAAATTTGTACTAGAAAATGGAGAGAAAAAAACGATGAGGAGTTAAAAGCAGGTCAAGAATAATTAGATATCCAGTAATTAGGCTAAAAGAAAAAAAATGAAAAATTCAGTAGATTACCTACATAAGTTATTACCACAGATTTCTGAGTGATTAAAAATCGTGCTGATTTCTAAAAATGCAGTAAACTTACGAATTTTTCGAAAAAAAAGGAAAAAAAATAAGAAAAAAAAACAGTATCCAGTGTTGAATTGATAATTAATTTTCTTCTACTATGAATTCACTCTCCGGTTAGGCAATAGTCCTTATTCATTATTTTATTTTTGATTACAGCTTGATTCCACACTGTATTTTTCGTACAAGTATGGAATTTTCAGTATGGATATCTGTAGCCCATATATTGCAGGCCGACCATAGATATCAGATATGCGATAAAAGGGAGTTAGTTTCACTGAAGCAGATCAATCATTATACAAATGATAATTACAACCATACAGTTTGAAAGTTGTAGTCAGAAAGAATTAGCAACAAGAAACTCTGTAGTGTAACCAACCAGTCAAGAACCAATCGCCCAACAAATACATACAGAAGCAAATGGAAATGGATGGGACACACGCTGAGGAGACTGTTGAGTGACATCATGAACTAAGCCCTCGAGTGGAACCCAGGTGGGAAAGAGCGAGTTGGGTATCTGTAGGTGACGTGCAGTAGGTCATGTAAGAGGGAGATGAAAACTTATGGGTGGTCGTGTGGCCAGATGAAGAGGACTGCAGGGCTAAATAGAGATGTACTACTGAAGTCGGAACCCAAGAGAACAATGAAATAATACCATATGGCTTGAACGTGAAGTCGCTGATAAGAAATATATACGACTTTTGCTAAATAAATATCTTTTTCATGAACTAATCAGTACATTTCATCATTTTTTGCAGAAATTTAATTCTCATGGACGGCAACCAGTGTAGATTATTGGTCACATAACATGAAATTTACCAAGTCAGTCAGTCAGTCGTGCTGAGTTCCTTATCGGTTAATTTAAGTGACATAGTATAATGCAATGTAACACATTTCACACTTCTTCTCCGTCTCTCTTTCCTCTGCAGGGGCAATACTTGTGCATATCTCCTAATCTTTCTTCCCACTATCCGATTATGTGTGGTTTAATTAGATTTTTGTTAAAGGAGTTGGTTCAAACGTTAATGGTTTTTGTTTTGTACTGTAAACCTATCTTCTCTACGATAATTCCAAAGTTTACTATTACAACAGTTTATAAATATCAGTATAAGTTGTTCATAAACTAATATCAATTAAAGAGATCACTGAAGACCAGGGAGTTCTAGACAGCTGTTTCGTCCTACCTTAAGACTCTTCATCAGCAGTCATCCACAATCGTATCATGGATTGAACCTGGTACGTTTAGTTCACCAGACCTAGCTGGTTAAATATTTAGCCACTTGAGAGGGAATTTAATGACTCAGGAGCTATAATTTCGTCAATTCGTGATATACCGTGATGAAATCTACATTGATTTAAATCCCTAGAAATCAAAACGACTGAATTTTGTTTTGCTGCCTTAAGCTACTGAAAAGTACTCAGTAGTATACTTACAACGGACGAAAACTATGAGAAGGGATTAAATTCCACTCTGTCATGAATGATTAACTAGCTAAAGTAGAGAAAAAAAACTCCCACAATAAACTAATGCAAATGAATCAAGCAAAATATCCTTACAAAAAAAACAAACAACAGAAAATAATTTATGAACGCAATTAACTTACCAAACCATATTAAATAGAAAATAACTGCCAATTGGTAAATAGATTGTCCAAGAATATTTTTTATCATATTTCGACTAATAATAGGTTTTGTTCGACCATATGGTGCGCGTTCAAGCAATTCTTCTGTTGGTATTTCTGTTGCCAATGCTAATGATGCTAAGGTATCCATGATTAAATTGACCCATAACATTTGCACAGCTTTCAATGGACTATCCTGTTGAATAAAACATAAGGATAGGTAGATTGTTAACACAGTACTATTTAAAGTTGTTGGAATTTTTGGCTGTGCAGAGAGACTGAATATATATATATATATGTATATATATATATATATAAACGATGTGTAAGGGATCCTCAGGTAACAGGTTTTTGAACTTGGCTCAGTCTGTACCACAAGGAAACATCATGAAGTCCTGCCATATTCGGTGAGAATCACTAAACTGAGTATGCTTATGATGACCATGTAGTCTGAGTTGCATAGGTGACGAATAATAATAATAATAGCTTTATTCAAAAACACTTCTTGCGATACAGAATAAAATTCTCAGCATTTTACTACAGTACTGCATCCAGTTAGCAAATTAACAATAAATAAAATTCTACATAGATTATTACAAATTAAACAGTGTTTGAAGGTGCTAGAAAGGTAGATTCTAGCATATTTACTGGCGTAAGCAGAAGAAAGAAACAAAGCTGCATATAAGAGAAAAGAGAGAGAGAAAAGGAAAAGAAAGAGAGAAAAATGTTGTACCTTTAAATGATTTGAGTTGGAAAGACAAGATCCAGTTGTTCTACTGACACGCTTTCTTTATCTCACAGAACACGAGCTAAGTAGGGTATGGTTGAGTTTTTGTACTTACTAGTGCGAGCATATAGTTTTCTGTATAGGCTTCTGGTCCAGCCTGATGGGATACAAGGGGAGAGTTGTGAATGAAGAGGGTGATGTGAGTTTGATAAAATGGATTTAGCCCATTTTTCACATGAGTCCATGTGCCTGTCAATTAGAATATTAACAAGCTAGTTAAGTGGCACGTAGCTTATCCTGCTGACAACCTTCAATATCCTAAGTAATAAGATATAGTCTTTCTTCAGTAGCCCTGGAAAAACTAAGGGGGAAAATATAGAATAATAGGCAGAGTTAACGAACTGTAAGATTAGGGGTTGGGTTTACCAGATTTTCTTAACTTCCTGATGTAGAAGGTAAGACGAAATATTTTCTTAGAAATCATCAAGATATGTAACGACCAGGAAAGATCAGTAGATAGGATGACACCTAGGTATTTAATTTCCGACTTGGTTTCTATTTCAGTGTCATCTATGCTGCATACCTCGTGAGTGCTAACCAGTTTGTTTAGGTCAGATTTGGGCCTAAAGGTGAAATTGACTGTTTGGCATTTGAGGGGGGTGTCAAGGTAAGCCTGTTTTCCTTGGACCACTGGCTGATTTCTGATAAAAAGCCACTTAGTTCAGAGCAGTCACTTTGACATTTGACAGGCAAAGATACACTAAGGTCGTCAGCATATCTGACAAAATTATTGTCATTTGAAGATGGTAGATCATGTAGAAAGAAAGAAAAGAGAAGTGGGGAGAGTACAGCACCTTGGGGGACACACATGAAATTACTCCTGTCGATAACATTGGTTAGAGAAGAGTATTTTTATTAATTTATTGAAGATGTCCTTTTAAAAATTAAAAAAAAACTGATTGATGAACAAAGAATGTTGTTTTTGATGAATTCGCCATCAGATTCTACATTTATATGACACTAATAATTAAAATGTTGATATTGACAACATCAGTGATGTTTTAAATTACATTGAATCAATAGTATTGACAGATTACATTTCAAAAGTATCGTAAGAGAGATAGATTATATGCATTGATACGACATCAAACTTGCCTCAGTGACACAGCGATTAGGACGCTCGCCAACCACGCACTCCTTTACCTCGCTAAGCCAGTAATAAAAAGCTGGTAAAGAGGTAAGGTTAGGCATGTGGCTAGCAACCCCATCCTGTAAAGATAAACACTGCTACAGAAACTTCAAGCCTCTAGCTTGAAGCCCTATGTTCCACTGGGAACGTGAAGGAATAAAAAAAAGTAACACTAAACTTAATATCAACTGGATTAGGGAAAGCAAGTCAGAACTTATGAATTTATAAGTCTCACAGTAGGCTAGGTTAGCAATAGTAACTGGCCCAGTTTGTGTTGCACGCAGATCACCTATTGATTTAAGCAAATTGCAATGACCTCTGCTACTTGGAGGATCCAGGATCTATTGACTTTTGGAAATTTATTCGATAAACCATAGATGATAGAGAAAGACTCTTCACTGATGTCTTTTTGGACTGTTTAGATGAGGTTATCCAATATAGAACTGTTGATGATTTTAACAACACCTTTATTTACCCAACACTGGTAGGTGTTCCGGAGTATAACAAATTAGTTTCCTACAACAACAGCCAATATAACAGGCTCCAAAGGAGCATCTGAGCTGATAGATACAAGTAGAGGTGGCTAGCCTGGGAATTTCATCTATCTTACTAACATTAACTGTTTATTGAAACGATTCTGTCAACTTGTTGGTTGTTATTTCACTTGGATATGCATATATCACTTCTGAATTGTAGTCATGTGTATACCTAAAGAGGTATCTTGTTAACAGATAAAAAAGAAGTCTCTTCTACTTTCTTGGCTGCTTATTTCGTGATGAACTTTTCAGGGTAGTTGTTTTCTTTGATAGAACACTAGTCAGTGACTAGTGTAGTGTGTCTAGTCCTTTGTTTGGTGCAGACTGAAATCTATCAGTCAAGTTTCCTATGTGGCCGCCATGCTAGGTGGCTCACCATCACGGCACATTTTCAAATATTACCATTATATTGTTGGAGGAAATGCAATACAGTTCTACAATAGGTCAATCGCAAGCCCGAATAGCTCAGTGGCAATGTCTCTAACTGTGTTACTGGGTGATGCGGATTCGAATCTCAAGGGGGGGCATGAGTTCCCCCAAGGTTGCAGATACTCCTTGTTGACTGATGAGTGCCGACTAACACGAAACCTAGGTCCACCACTGGGCATCCTGCCAATTGCCTCCAGCCATCTAATTTCGACAATACAAAGTAGCTGTTTTCATTTAAGCTTTCTTGTATAAATAAGCAGTTAAAGTAGGACACAAATTTCTTTTACTACACATTTTGGTTGATGATGGAAACGAACTCGTAAATTTGTATCCTCCCCCTTTTTTTTTCTCTCTCTCTCTCTCACATCAATCATGTCAAACAGTTTCAATATTTATATGATGAATATTAGTACAAGCCAAATATTATTGTACATCCATCCATCCATCCATCTATGCAGTGGAATACTTAATATTCATTTATTCTTATTTTGTATAGAAGCTAATTAGTCACTTGTATAATCAAGATTATGCATAACAGAGACAGGGAGAGAGTAAAATGCAGTTGAGATAATATTTCACTTAAAGGCAAGGTATATTATATAAATTAAAAGACTGCTATCAGTTAAGTGTATCTAGAAATAAATCTTATTACTGGTGATGTTTTGTCTTACAACATGTCTTGTATGTGTGCATGCGTGCGTACGTGCGAGCGTGTGTGATATACACACGTACATACACACATATATACACGCAATCATAGTAGGTAATTTTTAAAAGATTTACCCCTTATAATCTGCATAAACAAAATCTTTAAACTTGGCATGTTTTATGGTCATTTAGGTTATTATGATTTATAGTCATATAAATGTATTATATGCATATGTTTGCTTAATAAGTGTAAAATTTGGAAAAAAAATGAGTGAAATAAAACAAAGTGACATCTATAATTCACAGGATTTCATATTTATTCAGTGATTAAGATAAATGTGGTGAAAAATTTCACCCCTCCAACTGTGTATGTGCTACAAACTGTTATATTTGAAGTATGATATGATTAGTTTACTCAAGTAGCTAACTGTTTTGGCTCTTTGAGCTGAGTTTAACCAAGTGGGTACACAACTGCTGATGAGCACGACCCCCAGTCGAGTGAAACGGTAGTCCAGTGTCTCAATCACCTCGATCTGAATGACAAGCACTATTACTGGTTGATATGAGTGATGCAGACCAGTACTCAACTCAACCAATCAGTCAATCAATCAATCAATCAGTCGGTGGTATATAGTTTTTTGCATAAATGCTGAGTTGTTGATTGATTACCACTCACATCAACTTGTAGTGCTTGCTAGCCGAAATGAATTGATCAAAGCACCAGATGACTGCTTCACTCGTTTGGGACCATTCGGTTTAACTCAGTTCGCAAAGCCTAATCACTTCAAATCACTCAACTTTGGGCGTTTGAACTAGCAGTGCATTGATTCTGACTGTTAAGAATTTACATAATAAGTATCTTTATGATGAAGTTTTCTACGTTATCACAGTGTCCAGGTTCTGTTCTTATATCGATAAGCATCTTTACATCACCTATTTTGAACCTTTAGAATTACTGTACGCTAGTATATGATTAAGACATTGTTATTTATACCTGCTGTCTGATATGCATACAATTGTCTTTAGCTCAAAATGTATATTCAAGTATTATAAACTATGCTGTAAGGTAGAAATAAATGTGTTTTAGTCAACAGTATATTCCAAAAACATTTGTGGCGAGTACTACTGATAAGATTTATCAGTAGAATATAAAGAGACTTTTGACTGGCATAAAAACATCAAATAGCAGGAAGATAGAGTTGATTTCAGAGAAGGCGAATGATACAGCTTTGTGAAGATACATAGGAGACGTGAAAGGAACACAAAGATACACAATATGAAGAAGTCCAGAAGTACCACAACACGCAGATCTATACAAATTGTGCGTAGATGATAAGGTATGCAGAATTTGGCTATATGGAGATACCAATTTCAAAATAAACACACCCTTTACCAAGTCTTTCCAGCTGGTAGTTGGCACCTTCCACATCCGTTTCATCTGCTCTTGCAGATTCCCAACACTTCTATTCTACATCTTCTCATTTCTGCGGCTACCTGGGCAGCATTTCCAGTACGAACATTTCACTTGCCCATCCTTATTTTTGCTTTCACCGACAGAAGGCACATCGGCTTCCCGAAGGCTTTCACCAGCCTGCGTCATCTCACTTCCTCGATTCCAGAGAAAAATAAGGATATTGTTTATATTTTTAGAATTTTTAAAATATTTGTGCGTTGAAGTTTCTGTAGCGGTTTGGTTAAGTTTTGGGGGTGGAGTTGCTAGCACCACGCCCCAACCCTCCCTCTTTATCCGGGCTTGGAACCGTCTAGAAAACTAGCGAGCTAGTAATCTAGGCGAGGTGGCCGGAAAGAATCACCAACAAGAAACAATGGAAGGAACAAACAAAACAAGAACAAACCAATCGCCCAACTAACAAATATGCAGGAGAAAGTGGAGATGGATTGGACACTCGCTGAGGAGACTGCCGGATGACATCAAGCGCACGTCAGGCCATTGGTCGAGTGCAACTGGGCCGAAAGGGAAGCGGTGAGTGGAACGTCAGTGCAAGGGTGACATGGAGGAGATCGTGTGAAGAGGAGTTGAAAGAGTATGGACTAACATGGATGCAAGTGAAAAGTACAGCAGAAGACAGACAGAAGTGGCAAGTGGAGACGTGCAGTTGAAGCCCTATATTCCACTAGGAACCCAAGGAAACAATAATAATAATTACCAAATCTTCGTCTTCTACCGTTTCACCTTGATATACTCCATGATTTACTTTCTATTTATCAGCATTAAGTATAGCTAGATATTGTCGTTAGACGTTTGAAGGAAATCGGGAGGACGCCTTGGATCTAGGTCTTTTGCTTATTGGTACTTGTCAGCAACGTATATTTGTGATCTTGAAAAAAACTCGTATCCCTTCTGAAATTTGAACCTGGGTCACCTTGTGTTGAAGTCAGAGATATTACCCTTGAGGTATTCGGCCTTTCTATATACGAATGGATAGTATCATATTTCTTTAATTTCAACTGGTTAATAAGGTTTCTAATTTGACCGTGTTATACAGAACACTGCTGAAAACAGGTTTGAATAAAATTTTCCCAAATAGAACTAACACCTAAGTGGCTTCCTTCTTCTATACAGTTATTTTAAATTAAATTAGAATCCTTTTTCTTCCTTTTTTATCTCTTCCTGTGTTTCTTTCATCACCTCATCAAAACTATCAAGTGTATAATACCTTTGGGATTGATAAAATTTGCTTACACTGTGTTCTCTTTTACTGGTTTCAGTTTAATTGAGTGTGTGTGGGAGAGAGGTAAAGTTCAAAAGTTCTTGTGATTAAATTACTTGGATTGAAAATGAATTCAAAGGAGGCGAAACAGAAGCAGGAGCAGGAGCAGAAGAAACGTGTGATTTTAAGTAATTCATAATTATAATCAAAATAAAATTACTTGATTATATCACGTGTTTGACCAGCTTGATGACATACTTATTATATTATTGAAATGAAAGAAAAACAGTATGTGTTAGCCCGAAATTTTCATTTTAAGTTGATGATGATGGTGATTACTGATAACCTCTTTCTCCTTTTCCTTTTTTCGGTAACTTTTACCTCATTATCATGTTTACTTTATTTTTTTTTAATGATAGAAATACCCAGAAGGCGAAAAATCTCTTGAAAAACTCACTGTGATAAAACAAGCCCCAATAAATGCGACTATAATAGCCACCATATTGACAGTTAATTGAAATTGTAAAAATTTTGATATTGAATCGTAGACATTTCTTCCCCACATTACTGCTTTAACAATACTTGTAAAATTATCATCAGTTAATATAATGTCAGATGCTTCTTTCGCCACATCTGTACCAGCTATACCCATTGCAAAACCAACATCAGCTTTTTTCAATGCAGGTCCATCATTTGTACCATCACCAGTGACAGCGACAACTTCACGACGTGTTGAAATATGACTGTCAATAATTCCACTAACTAGTGTGTATTTATCTTGTGGAGATGAACGTGCTAATACTCTAAGCTGTGGCCATACTTGATCCATTAAATCTTGTCGAACACGATTTGTACGTGGATCACGTACACGATTATTAAATTCTTTTCCTTCTAATATAATATAATTATCACCTGGTCTTAAGATACCACATTTATAAGCAATTGATCGTGCTGTATTCACATTATCACCAGTTACCATACGAACAGTAATTCCAGCACGTTGACATTTTCGAATGGCGGCGGGCACTTCTGGTCGTACAGGATCTTCGATTCCCACAATACCAATACATGTTAAGTTGGATACAACTGTATCTTCATCATCAAAATCTGGTGTTTGACCACGCTTTAGAGGAATTTCATTGGTAGCCACTCCAACAGCTGTAAAAAAAGAAAGAATTTATAGAAAAAGAAACAATGAGGAAATTAGACAGCAGTCTAGGAGAAAATAATTCTGAATCTGACGAAGTTAAAAGGCATCGATAATTAGAATATTTAATTGACGTGGTTGGTTTGTTGTCTTGAAATAAATCACCTAAAAGGAACTTATAAGTTAGACTTTAAGTAACTTTTAAGTAACAACACAATGAATAATTATCCTATATAATAATCACATTTGTAGTCAGACATCGCTACATTTCCAAGACTTAGTGAAAACATTATACACATAATGAATTGCCAAGTTTTAACGGTTAAATACTAAAACAATAAAGTTAAGTAGTATTTAAAGTATTAGTTTTTAGGGATTTGATTGATTGGTTACAGGATTTCATCATAAGCTGATATTGGTTAGAGAACCATTGAAAAGCCAACTGGGAGTACTGGACAGGTGTTTCCTCATGGTTTGAGACTCTTCATCAGTAGACACCCCTCCGACAGGTTTCACACCCAGGATCTTCTGGTTCCAAGGTGGGCCAGCTCGTAGACCATTAAGCCACCGAGACCCAATCCAATAACCAGCCCATGAATTCTAACTTCTGCCAATTCACGACATAGTACGACCCCTAGCCAATGTCTTCGTTTTAACCCGTCCATGAGGACTCCTATAAGAAATTGGGAAGTTTCCTTGCGAAATACACAAGAATATTATCCTATGTAACCATTTTTTTATCATTGCATCACTTACATATAAACGTCTGCTTCAAATTATGCACTTATAATTCCCACGCATCTTATTCGTCGCCAGAGGTGGTTTCGTTTTGGGCTGTTACAGTTTAAAGTCACCCTCATGCAGTATTGAAGTAAGGGATATTTTTCTTTGTGTTGAAATAAATAATGAATGAGGTTTCTACCATAAAAATCAGAGTATGGTAATATTGTCACCTTCAGGGATAATTTTCATCATTGTTAAATAAACACACTGGAAGCAACTTGATAAGTTTGACAGTTGTGCGGTATGCAAATGATACGTATACATAAATTTGCCTACCCTTATCATTTTACATTACCTTTATTACTTTCATTTCTCCAAAAATAACAATATTTCTGGACTATATTTAAGTATCTGTTATGTTGTAATACATACAAGACAAATATTCACATATTATAGTGTGCTATGCGTATTTGCCTTTCTCTCCTTCCATGACACTGTAATTTCTAAGTAAATTCTAGGAATGAGTCCACATATCAACTTTACATATATACAAACATACATATATATATATATATGCTTCCCTTTGTAGCTAGTGGATATAAAGCCGTCTGAAATCTACAGCAAAAGCCGACTGATTACCAACATGAGTTGCTTATTTTAAATAGAATTTATAATGTTGTTAACTACTACTCCTACTACTGAAAGACACATATCAGTAGTACTTTGGTGTGTAGAAAATTTTCCCCAATCCGACTTCTTGCCCCCTCTCGTTTCGCTTTTTTTTCTTCCTAAACTGTTTTAATACATCACATTGTTGACATGATGATTAGGAGTAACTTGAACAAATATAAACTCTATTTATAGAAATAAATAAATCATTAATATTATTGTCTAAAAAAAACAATCATTTCACTTTCATTATTTGAAGTGGCATTTAATATTGCATTAATTAGTACATTCAACGTCTCTCTGCGCGCCTAAATTTGCCCTTTTCATCATAATGTTTCATTATGTATGTATTTATTTATTCATAAAACTGTGTGTGAATGTAGGGCATAAGTTAAACCAAATACTGAATTCTCCTTTCCTTTTTCTTTAATAAAGAAACTCCAATGGAAAGAGTGAATATAAATGGGCACGAAAAAAAGAAGAAGCACCATGTCGTAAGCACATCCTCTAGGAATTCCTGTTTTATTGCAATCCACAAGATAATACCATTTGAAATATCAGCTTATTATATAAAGCATAAACTATATATATATATATATATATAGATAGATAGATATTACTAATATACATAAGTTATGCTTAATTTGATTAGTGAATCAATATCACCCAAAAGTATGCCAGAAAGAAATCTTTTTTTGTCGAAACTCTGGATTATTTAGCATCTATATGATCTCTTAATTTAATTAGGTGTACACATAATATGATACGATATAAAATATCGACAGAGTTGAATCCATCCATATCTCTCGTAGCTACCTGTGAATCTTTTTCATTAATTACAAAATTATTATTTGTAATTAATCTCAGAGTGTTTAGAAGTGTATAAAATTTACAGATGAAATCGAATTGAATGATGAAACTGTAAAGCTTCTAGATCATTTTAGGGAACTATTTAAAAAAAAACACGGAGTACTGGACAACTGTTTCGACCTATTTATGGACGCTACCGCCAGGGTTCGAATCCCTGAAAACTAACACTTGGAAGCTAATATGATGCTCACTAGTGACTGCCTCTATGCAGCCAATTACATTGAGTTCCAGGGAGAGAATTCCTTACCGGAAGGGTCCATCAGGTCACATAAGAGAACATTTACTTGGCGATGACGCTGAGCGGAAATCCCGCTATATATTTCACAAATTAGCAGAAGCTGTAATTCATAGGCGGTTAGATCAAGTCTCAGTGGTTGAATGGTCTATGAGCTGGCTTTGTAACTGGAACTTTCTATGCTCAAACAGTGGTGGTGAGTATTGCTTACGAGCTGTAAACTAGGACAAGACAGCTGTTGACTACTCTCAGGTTTTCCAGTGGTTATCTAACTCATGTCAGCTCATAATCAAACTTGTAACCAGTCAAACTCCAACAAACTAACACAGGAAAACATCTTGTTGGAGGACAGAGATTGAAGACTAATGTTTACAGTATGTTATAAATTAATACACTGAAATAAATATTTGAATTTTTTATCTTCTCATCCAAAAAGCATGAAAAATTCAGTAATTTTACATCAGCTAAATAGCGCTAAAACATAACTATATGATACAGAAAATGAGGTCTTCAAACTGTGACAGATTTTAATTGAAAATTATTATACGAAAAATGTCTCTGAAGAATATTTTCAATAAAAATAGCTGAAAGAAAAAGAAGGATATTCAGTGAGAAGTCTTGAATGTCTAAAATAGCTATACCATATCAGAGTGACAGTGTATAATAACTTCAAAGAGTATTTTCTGCATATGAGGTTAAAGCCTATTTGTAGAGAAAGTTTCAGTTAATGTGAAAGGTGTCTAAAGAATGAAATATCTGGGATGTGGGGATTGTAATATAGAGGGAAGCAGTGAACAGCTAGAAAGTTAAGAATAAAGATCAACCATAGCAGTTGCACGCCACAGAAAGCAGATATGAGATTGACCTCCATAATGTTGAAATACTAGGAAGAGGTTTACGTTCACACAAAGAAGTGTTAAACTTTGAAGCCTTGCATATTTTAACTACATCTGACTCAATAAGTAGGATAGATGGAGCAGACTTATCATCCTCTGACAGACAAAGGAGGCTCATTATTTCTACAGTTTTCAGCCTCTAAACTACTACTGCTACTTCTGAACTGACATGTTCTCATTACAGTTACAAGATACAGACAGATATACACATATTGTAGTGATGAAAAAGAAGGTATACATGAGAAGTGATTACATTAATCCACTTAGTATGTATATTTATCTACAAATGACCTTTAGACAAGTTCATTTGACCATATACACTCTGATATTTAGTAAAATTCGAGTAATTCGACTGAAGAAAGTGCAGCTTACGTGGGGAAACTTTCAGAAAGAAAATTTTTTTGAGCTTCTAAACACACTGTGATTATTTAAAATAATTTTATAATGATCTAATTTGATATGGCACTCAAACTACTCTGAGAAATTCACAAGATCCATGGTCTTAACATTTATAATCGTTGACTGAATATTCTATATCAGGCAGGTCTTCTCAATTTTATAACTCATTTAACATTCTTAGTCTGTCCTAGGAGCTGATACTATTTCAGTCAACTGAAATTAAACAAAGGGGAATTCAAATTTTCATTAGATAACGTTGGATAAGATATGGTAGTCTTTTTTCGATAGCCTGCCCAGGAGAACAACACATTTTGGCGTTTGAAACAATGATTGTTAGTTTTGAGTTCGTAAGGGAAACACAAAATCGAAGACTTACAAGCGAAAACCGACAAACTGGTCGAAAAAGCAGCCGGCGAAGACAGGACTCCAGGTGAACATAGACAAGACGGAGGTGATGAAAATAACCAACCAACCAACAACAACAGAAGCAGCAACATCCAGCGCCAATCACCATCGACGGGAGGGATTTGAAAGAGGTCACTTCATTCACTTATCTAGGGAGCATTGTCTCAACTACAGGAAGTCGGAATGGACGAGGATTTCAGATCGAGCGAGAATCGGGAAGGCGAGAAACACATCCATCAACCTGAAACCAATCTGGAAATCTTCGTCACTCAGCATCAACAACAAAATTCAGTCGGATTTTCAATACAAACGTAAAGTCAGTCAGTTCTTCCATACGTATCAGGAACTTGGGGGGTCACAAAGATTATTTCCAACAGGCTGCAGACCTTCATCAACCAGCTACTGTCTTCGCTCTATACTGAAGATCAGATGGCGGGGCCGGAAAGAATCACCAACAAGTAGCTATGGGAACGAACAAACAAAACAAGAACCAATCACCCAAAAAATACGCAGGAGAAAGTGGGGGTGGATTGGACACTCGCTGAGGAGGCCGCTGAAAGACATCAAGCGCGCCTCAGGCCATTGCTTGAGTGAAGCCAGACAGAAAGGGAAGCGGTGAGTGGAACGTCAGTGCAAGGGTGACATGGAGGAGATCGTGTGAAGAGGAGTTGAAAGAGTATGGACTAACATGGATGCAAGTGAAAAGTACAGCAGAAGACAGACAGAAGTGGCAAGTGGAGACGTGCAGTTGAAGCCATATGTTCCACTAGGACCCAAGGGAACAATAATAATAATAAAAAGGAAGCATAATCATTTATTCAGTCATTCATTCATTAGCATCCGGCTACATTCAGTTAACGAGCTCCAGTTTAGGATAAAATCTATGCGCTGAATTTTATTGCCAATAACTGGCTATTAAATAATTTAATAAGCACAGTCATATCTTCCACATTTAAATAATTATTATTCAGTTGAGACAATTACAGTAGGATTTATGCTCAGACACGCGAGCTAAAAAGTATACGACTAGACATTTTTAAGTAGTAAAATATTATTTTACAAAATTAGATGAATATTTCACTTAAAAACCATACTAGTTTTCCAAAAAAAAACTTTTTCTTCGAAGTCTATTAAGTCAGTTCAACAGACCTTATGGTAATCATCTGCCATATGAAGTTCATATGAAGTCATGAAATGTAAAGTACAACAAATGAAACTTTCGTTTCTTTGTTTTCATCAGGAAAAACGACTACTTATTTAATTGTGAGTAACAAAATTGAATGTGATACATTAATAAAATAAACGATTCAGTTGTATATTTTTGATTTTATTCCTTTGAGTTCTTAGTGAAACATAAGGCTTTAGGCTTTGAGCCTTGAAGTTTCAGTAGTACTTGCGTTTATGTCCTCATCGCCACCATTCCCTATCTGCCGAGCCTACTACCAAGTGAAGTTTATGAGTGTAGCGACCGGTGATTGAACCCTTGACCACTTTCGTGGGTGATGAGTGTTCTACTACTGAACCACCGACGCACATAATCTAGGGAGTGCTGGACAACTGTTTCGTCCTGGTTTGGGACTCTTCAGCAATGCGCATCCACTGGGACTCAAACCCATGTGCCTTCCGGTTACAAGGCGAGTTGTTAGGCCATTCAGCCACTTGGATTGTAATCAGCGACTATTATCAATAAAACAAATGATTATATTGCATAAACAGATCATCATTCTCAAGTGTTGTTACGCAGGGTTTTGATTAGATCCAAGTTAGATCATGAGCTGACATCTCCTAAAGAACCACTGAAAAAACAAGGAGTAATGGATATTTGCATCCGTGTTTCAGCGGTAGAATATTCGCCAACCAAGAATGCGGTCCAGGGTTCAGCCACCGACCGACACACTCCGAAACCTCTCTAAACCTGTTGTAAGTCAGGTAAATAGGGAAGGTTAGATGTGAGGCTAGAAACCACATCCCCTAAAAATCAAACCACTGCTATCGTAATTTTAGACTTCTAGTTTGATGCTCTATGTTCCACTGTTAACGTAAGGGGATAAAAAAAGAGATGGATAGTTGTTAACGTCTCTTCATCAGTGGGTAAAACTACTCTATGAAGGCACTGACTGTTAGTTGGGTCATACACCTCAAATTTGAGAGAAGACAGAAATCATATATATATATATATATTTATATATAGTCAACAGTGCTTTAGAAGAATAATTCATCATGTACACATTTAAAATTAATTCATATAAAATCACAATGATGGGAAATATTTATCAGCTGCACTGATAATCACTGACCTTTTCCCTACAGGATATAAGAAGTATAAATACTGTAACCTACATTATTTGTTACTGAAGATTATTGAGTAAGTATAAAAGAAGCAATGCAAACATAATTATTCATACTCTATTTAATATCATTTGAAAATAATAACAGCATAATAATGACCTACCAGAATCAATATAACTCTTGTATGCTATGCCTATAGTTCGTAGTCCATCACCAGCCATCGGTTCTATTACATCTCGAACTAAACTTTCTTGATTGGCTACAGTGAATGGTTTTGGTTCACCATTAGCATCAAGAATGAAGGTACACCTAAAATGGTCAACAGAAAAAGGTATGAATACACATTTTATTGTAATTCTGTATGTAATATATTTTTTAAATAAATAATAGACTATATAACGTGAAATTATTTCATTGAATTTGAGATTTTCCCGTCGACTGATTGGACCGAAGCGCTCGGTTTCAGGTTGACATTTCTGTTGGCTTCTTGTGCAGATGCTTCGACGATATCTGGGCATGTAACTTGAAGTCAGTTGGTAGATGGTGACTAGCAGCGGACTCTAGGAAGCGCATTTCATCTTATTTGGGACTCGTCAGATGGATGTAGCTGCATCAGTCAGTGAGTGATGATGTTCCCACCGTGGCTTGAGCACAGTACCCAAAGCCTTATCCTCGGTGGGAACATCGTCACTCACTGCGGAATGCAGCTACATCCATCTGACGAGTCCCAAAAAGGACGGAATGCGCATCGTTGATTCCACTGCTAGGCGCCATCCACCTATTGACTTCATATAACATGAAAATTTAGGAAAACGCTTTTCATGCTAAACAAACAATATAATCATTTTTATGTAAAAGTTGTTAGGAAATCAGCAAATTACAGTGGAAAAAATTAATACTCAACGGAAATCACACAGTTATAACATCACTACTTCAAAAACACTGACTTGGCATGAAACGATACAATACCAGTCTCAAATCCTAATTTTGAGTTAAGGATAAATACAGGCATGTGACGTAAAAAAACTTTTAAGTTTAGAAAAATAGCGTTTTAACAGTCTGAAGTTTTACGTATTGTTATTGCTATTCGCCCCAAGTGTTCTTTTTGGAATATAGGGCAAAAGTACCATGGTGTCATTTCACTCTATTCACTACAGTTTTTTCAACTGGCTCCAAGATTGCCTTCAGGCCTTCATTCCCCCCTCCATATCACTCTGTGACCCAAGTCAAACTCATCGTTTTCCATTACGGTTTCCCCTGAAGGTCTGCTCTGCATGTGATGTCACTCAATGTAAAGCCACTAAATTAACAACTGCATTTGGTACAAAAGACTTCAAAAAATTAGAATGAACTTGAAAATTTTTATTTATAAACATGCGTGAATTCTATTCTTGTAGGAAAATATAATGATGAATAATGAGGTTAGGCGGTGTTATTTTTTTGCTAATAGACTGGCTGGCACGCATTATCTGAATGGTATAGGTTTTACTTTGTTGCCTTAGATCCTGGATTCAATCACATATTTCGAAAGGATAGTAGTATATGAGTATTGGTCGTATTGGTTTTTATCTATTATCTGAGAGAAAGCCTATTCATCACGAAAGTCACCACTGAAATAAAGATATTTTTACAGGATTTCATCATGAGCTGATATTAGTTAGAGGACCATTGGCGAGCTCATTGTAACCAGAAGGTCCCGGGTTCGAATCCCGGTGGGTGCGTACTGCCGATGTTTCCCAAACTAGGATGAAACAGCTGTCCAGTACTCCCAGGTTTTCCAATGGTTCTCTAACTAATGTCAGCTCATGATGAAATCCTGAAACCAACCAAATCCCTACAAACCAACACTTGAAAGATATTTTTACTTTCGCAATAGTAAATTAGTTCTGTTATACAACAAAATATGCTTTTATTACTTCTAAAAATGAACAAAAATCTGTTGTGTAATGTTCACTCAACACTAATGTGTAATTCTCAAGAAGTGATTTTTGTAGGGATCCTATTTGTTTCAGGTTAGACAACAGATTGATATCAGTCAGAGAAACGTTGGAAACCAGGGAGTACTACCAGATAGCTATTTCATCCTAATTTAAGACCCATTGGGTTTCGAACCCCAGACGTTTCGACTACAAGGCAAGCTCATATACCGTTAAGCCACTGCGATTCGATTCAATGGTCAGCCCATGAATTCGAATTTCTTCATTTTAGCGACACCATCAACCTATGTCATCAGCGGGAATTCCATACTCACTCCCTGACTGGATGAACCCTTAATGGTCACGACTTTTCACTAGAACTCCAGACACCTCGTCCCGTAGCCAGTCACTAGCGGGCATCATTAAATCGATACTTTCCACTTTGAATACTCCTAGAAATTACAGTTACTTCAAAGTAAGAAATAAGCTGAATGAATCACGAAAGTTTTTTATGGTAGATAAAATGTGTTTTCACTTCTGTTGCTTAAATTAAACACATATTTCCTTTGAAGTAGAAATGTATAATCAAAAAAAGAAAAAAAAACAGAGCCATTACTTGTCGCTAAGTTTTAACTTTTTGTGTTAAAACAATATTTGACATTATAACTGCTGAATTTATTGTATAATAAGAGGGAAATTGTTGAAAAGTGTAATTATTTTAAGGACAAAGGTTGCGCGGAAGTTACTTCAATTAAACTTGGAGTAATTAGTAGTTTAAACAGTCTATTATTGTAAAGAGTTTAAAAAAAGAAATAATCTAAGCGGAACAGGAAGTCACTGAATAAAATTAATGAATAATTGAATATATATATATATATATGTACTAAAATAAAATTGAGATAATACTATTGAGGTCCATATAGTTCAATTCTAAATGTAATTGTCTTCAAGAATGCCACAGATAGTTGTTGTACTAAATTCACTCGTTTCATAATGTAAATGTCTAGATTTAAACAGAATAGTTTTCATGTCTAGGGTCAAAAAAGCAAGACAGACGTTCATTACTGTGAAATCAGTGTTGAAAACTGCTAAACTCAGTCTGCGGAACAAGATCCACATCTTCAATTCTACTGTCAAATTAGTATTTCTGAGTGGTTCAGAGGCTCGGAGCGTTACTAAAAGCATTTCCAACAGGTTGTAGACTAACATCAGCAGCTACCACCGGCATCTCACTACTGGAGATCAGATAAATAGCCAAATAGGATTGACAACAAGGAACTCTAGAAAGGAACAAACTCAGACTTTATTTCAGGATTTCATCATGAGAAATATCATCAATTAGAAAACCATAATAAAACCTTGGCATACTGGATAGCTGTTTCGTCGTCGTTTGGGACTCTTCACCAGGATCTGCTGGGTGCCAGGGGAGCTTGTAGGCCATCAGGCCACTAGGTCCCGATCATAGAGCTCGTCTTGTAGCCTGCAGGTCCTCAGTTCATGCCCCTGTGGGTGCGTGCCAATGAAGAGTCCAAAACCAGGACGAAACAGCCGTCCAGTACTCTCATGGTTTTCAATGGTTCTCTAATCGATGTCAGCTCAATATAAAATCCTGAAACACATCAAATCCCTGCATACCAATGCTTGAATCTCAAGACTTTATTGCCCAAAAATATACAGTAGAGAATGGAGATGGGTTAGGCATAGACTAACACGACTGTTGATTGACATCATATGCAAGGCAGGCCGTCAGATAGAAACAGAATGGGAAACGATCCGCGGATGATATGAAGCCAGTTGTGTTAGAGGAAAATGAAAGCTTGTAGGCAATCATTGGGCCGACTACGAGACGACTACAGTGAACAGAGTGGCGTGGCAATGCAATACAGAAGCTTTGTGTTCCACTTGAAACCCAGGGGAATAATTTATATATATATATATATATATATATGCATATATGATTGACCACACAACGTCTTTCACTCTGATGTTTTCTTTACTTTCTATGCCTCGAATTCCAAATGAAACATAAGGATCACGAGCTTTGAAGTTCCAGCAATGACGATTTTGTTTTTTACTGGTGAAATTGGTAGCCTTATATGCAAACTTCTTTCTTCACCGGGCTCACTAGTGGCTTGTAAACTAGACGACGTTTAGGTGCGCGTCAACTGGAATCTATGCATTATTGCTTCAAGGAATAAGTAATTAAGTGTTTGTCAAAAATACTGTTTTACAGAAGGCATTACAGTCGTAAAAGCCTCATTATTTGGAAGTACACAAAAACCTGTCTTTCATGCATGGCAGTATAGGTAGATTTGATGTTATAGTGAATTATTTTAGAGAAAATATCTATTTTTAGTCAACACTTAATAATAATACCTTAGGCATATTCTCCTTCACATTCTTTGTGTACAAATGAACAAAAAGAGGCACTTGTTCAACCAATGTGTGAGTTCTAATACCTTTCAACGGAACAGACGAAAAAAAGTGTTTAATCAAGGGGAAGTGATGCATTAAGCTTAAATAAACAGACTCATCTTTCATCCACTTGAGAGAGAAACAAGATAATGTTTGTATAATGGACTTTCTTTTGTCCCACTTTTGTGTAGGTTTAAATAAATAAATCCTCAAGTCTGTTGAAAGCCTATCTGTCTATCCGTCTGAAGATGACACTTGATTTATGTGAAAATTGAGGAGCTGTGGCTCATTTATCTAGGCGTTCCCTTTCTCAGTCAGCCAGATACTGTGTTAAACCCCTCTTCACCTATCGAAATTTGGTTGGTAAGGCAATATTACTGGCCCCTCACACAATATGTGTGGCTCATGACCAACTGCATGGAATTTCAAACCGTTGTTGATTAACTTGAAAATGAAAATATGAATTCACTTAATAGAATAAACAAATGGAAACTGTTCATTTAAATTTGTGTGTCGCTGGCTCACTGGAAGAATGCTTAACAAACATGCACTTGGTCTAAATTTGGATCATCAGTCGATGCACACCCAAATCTCGATAAGCCGATAGTGAGCTTGGTAAATAGGGAAGGTTAGGTGTGATGCTAGTAACCCCACCCTTAACATCACTGCTGTTGAAACCACAAAGTTTAAGCTTAAGTCTCTAATTTCTACTTGGAGTGCAAAGGAATAAAATAAAAAATAATAAAAAATTGTTAACATTTAACAGAAGAAAATATGCTTTCATAGAACTATTGCAGTTTAATCTTCCTCCACAGTAGCTTGAAATGTTTTATAATGAAGGCAGTATTTCAGAAATACGCAGGATTACACTTTTGCTAGTATTATTAGATTGAGCATATTCACCTTACATCGAGTATCTTGAAACTTAAAGATAAGATACATTCACATGATTACAGTTAGACTTCTTCTTATTTATGGTCACGCTTTCAAACTATCATGTCTACTGGTTGGTGACTTAAAGAAAATGACAAAACTATCGTCTTCTGTCATGTCAAAATGGTGAAGATAAACCGAATTTTGAGGACAGAAATTCATCTATGAGCTAAATCTTGCATTGAAATTGTCATCTAACAGGTCACTTATTCAGTGTTGTCAGATTTTCTATTAATAATTATCAGTGGTGCGTCGGTGGTATAGCGGTTGGGACGCTCGCCGACCATGCACATTGTTCGGGGTTCGATACCCGGCCGCCGCACTCCTTTACCCCACTGAGCCATAAATAATGCTGGTAAAGAGGAAAGGTTGAGCATGAGGCTAGCAACCTCATCTTGTAAAATAAACACTGCTACAGAAACTTCAAGCCTATATCTAAAAGCCTTATGTTCCACCGGGGGACGTGAAGGAAAAAAAATTACCAGTGAATAAAAGCTAACACTCAAGGCTTATTGAAGTTGGGAGTAAAGTGTTAGGTAAGGAGGGAAAGTCAATTGATCAGGCTGTGAAGCCGCATCGATTGAAATGGCACATGTGTTGCGTACGCAAAGCCATCGCATTGAAAAGAGTTCGGATTAGCTAAGGACCAATGGCTGTCAACTTTTGTTGATATGGCTTCGAGTTGTTGTTGTCAGTGGGGTAGATGCATTCACTCTTTACAATCTCCTAAGTACATTATGTTCTCATGTCTCTCCCTCATACACCAGTTCATCATAATTCCCTTAAATTTATCCCTACCTTTGTCTGTTATAAGAAGTGTGGCAATTTGGCATGGCAGTCCTACGTTGAAATTCAGTCTGATAAGATGCTTAATTCAAGATATGCAACTATTTTTACTAGGTTACAGGATCTCATCATCAGTTAGAGAACTATTAGAGAACCAACCGGGAGCACTGGACAACTGATTCGTCCTAGTTCGGGACCCTTTATCACTACGTACCACCGAAGTTCAAACCCAGGATTTTCCGGCTACAAGACGATCTCGTAGACCGTCAAACCACTGGGACTCGACCTAATGGCCAGTTCACGATTTCTAACTTCTGCCAATTCACAATAAAGCGCAACCACTAGCCGATGCCTTCCACAGTGAGTATTTGTACTCACAACCAACTTGCTGTATCCCACTGATCATGACTTCTAACTAACTACCTGCCTGAATAATACCGGTCGCTAGCGAGCATCTCATTGATATTCATGTTTGGTTTACAAGGATTTGATAGGTTACAGGATTTCATCATAAGCTGACTTTGGCTAGAGAGCCATTAGTCCTGGGTTCGAAACCCAGTGGATGCATGCCGATGAAGAGACCAAAACTAAGACGAAACCGCTTTCTAGTACTACCGAATTTCTCAATAGTTATCTAACCGATGTCAACTCATGATAACTAAATGAATTCCCGAAAACCAACACTCGAATGTCTCTTTAGTAGGTTGGTAAGTATTTCCAATTCTGAAAGAATTGTATGCATATATATGTATCTGTATCATATGCGCATGAGTAGTGGGATAAAACCTGGATAAAAGACAACTGATTGTTACTGATGGATAAATAGTAATTTTTGGCAAATGCTAACGATAATTACATTCTTATTGATTAGTTTAGTTATTCTCACTGTCTCTCAAAGTTTATGATCATAATTTCGATGGATTTCAAAATCGATATATAAAATTTTAAGGCGTTTGTTTAAATTCCGGCATTTCAATTTTGTCTGTGTAAATGAACAAAGTCAGTTAGGTAATATGAATACTAGATTGATGTAAAGTTTATCACTACAAATTTTGTTCCCTCAGAAAAGATGTTGGTCAGATAGATAAAAATACTACAACTCATAACACAAGAGAAGATGGACAATTTTAACAACCTGATGCCTGCATGTGATTGGCTACAGGACGAAGGCGTCTTGAGTTCTAGTGAGAAGTAGTGACCAGTGAGTACCGTCCAGTGAAGGAGTGAGGATGGAGTTCCGGCTGATGACATTGGTTTTGTCTCGCTAAAATGATGAATTAATAGAAACGGAATTTATGCGCTGGTCATTGAATTCGGGTCCCAGTGGTTGACTGGTATACAAGTTTACATTGTAACTGAAACGTCCTGGGTTCGAGCTCCTATCGGTGGGTGCGTACTGCCGATGGGTCTCAAACTATGATGAAACAGATTTCTGGCAGTACTCCTTGGTTTTCAATGGTTTTCTAACTAATATCAATCCGTGGTCAAACCTAAGAAAAACAGACCTAATTTTTCCAAACCAACTCTTGATTATATATATTTCTTTACGGAACTACTTTTCGACGAGTTTAACATTTTTGTTTTTGATCAAACTCAATACCTTTGTGTATCTGCAGGGGAAACCAAAGTCTCAGTCAGCGATTTGACCGACTTTAGCGATTGACATTTATAGACAGTATGCTGAGAAAAAGTGACGTACCATAAAGATTTGACAGAACTCGTAATAGTGAAGCAATAAACTTTTGAAGGAATTAAGTCCCTTTATGATTTTTGATATAAAAATAAGAAAATGTATCGGAGACCTGCTATTTGTATTTGCACAACACATTTTAAAATTCTGATCATACACGCACTTGTCGAAGGTTATTTTCTACCTGTCTAATTAACTTCTAAAGAATTACGTTTATACATACATTTTAACCCTTCAAGAAGGATCATCGAAGTCTGATCATTTAACAAAGACTCAAAGAGGCAGTCAGCAGAACTTGCTAGACAGCTAAACTCATTTCCGTAGAGAGACTTATGCTGTCCTGTAAATGCTCACAGCACCTGAAAGAATTTGAATGTGTAGTCAAATGCACATAAGGAGGGGCAGTCAACAGCTGCAAGTCATGGGTGCAGAACACAAAATTGCCTGTTCAACTTCATCCATCAATAAGCAAATCATAAAAATTGGCTATAAAGTTGACTTCAGTGGTGCCTTTAAACCCATACATAAAAAGGGTTTGGATCATATGCTTAAAATTGTTTACGCCTTATGCATAAAACAACTTAATTCTACTTTATCTATTCAAAAATTATATGTTATTACTTTGAACCTACCTTGATGATCCAATTTTACCACCATAGTTTATTTTACTTACTATTATTTACACTGTCATGTACCTGCCTGTAATCTGTGATCATGATCCGTGAACATTTTGACCTATAGTTATTAATTTTGATCCTTTATGCTCTGTAACTTTTTGTATAGATATGTCAGGTAGGTACATGTCTAATCAGAATGTCTGAAATGTGTTGCGTAAATACAATATCACACGTTTTGGATAAATTACGTCTTTATACTGTTTTGTCGAAATAAACCATCTACTGGGGAAAATGTTCAAGAATCTGTGTTGGAAGATAATTTCTCGACAACTGACAATCAGTTCCAAGCAATCAGGTCATTATGATAGAGTGTATTTTCCAAAAACACTTAATCAATTGTGATATATATATATATTTATGAAAGCATTTGTTTTTTCTTTGAAACTTACTTCTTTAAAACCATTTCAGAAGCACCTTTCGTGAAAACAGTATAACCTGGTCGATCAGCTTCCAAGTTTTTAATCACAGTACTCATTGATTTGCGTACAGAGTTAAATGTGAACACCTTGATTAAGCTTTCTTGAGGCCATCGTTCTCGTATATCCTCATAATTAACTCCAAGATGTCGGACAAAACCAAGTAAAGCACATTCAGTTTTATTTCCTAATTGTTGTGGTAATTCTGTTGGCTTTTCAGGTATCTTAAAGCAAAATGAAAATAAATAATATAAAGCCAAAATTGTCCAACTACTGGAGAAAATATAACTTCTCACAGTAAGTAATTTTCAACCTGTCAATTATTGGAGAACAATAAAAGTTGGTGATTTATTGTGTGTAAGAAAGTTTCTTATTTCCGTAAGTGTAGCGGAAAGATAAGATGGCTAATCCTATGAAATACTTCCGTAAATACAAAGAAAGCGAAATCGGACGGCTTAAAGGTATGAAATTGCTGTCTGTCATTAATATAAGTAAACAAAAGCAATAAAAGTACACTTATGTTTTTGGGGAGTAAACAATGAAATCACTTGGGATTCTGAGTTTAAGGGAGAAGATCACTAAATGAATTGAAACGGTCATGAAAATTAGAAAAGAAAGAACTAGCATTTTGATAAAGTATCTTGAAGAAAGCATTTTGTGTAAAAGATAAACACAGAGATATTTGCTTTAGTGATTTAATACCACTTGGGAAGTCTTGTTTTAATCCTTGGTTGAAGCACTCTCGTACTTCACCCCTAGTTGACTAGTTGATAGTTAGCCTATGAAAGAAAGATTGAGTGTGAGGCAGGTTACTCCTCCTCAATGTGAACAACACCACAGCTACTGAAAATTCAAAACTTGAAACCCTATTTTGAATTCGGAAAATAGCGGAATAAAAGAAGACGAAAGAACAGAACAGATTTTTTTAAACATTCTATTTATTGAAGTAGTAGTTGATCCATACTTTGTAAACTCACTTATGAGAAAAAGGTTGCATTAAGGAAAACTTACATATGCTGGTCTTTTACGTCATGAGTTATTATGGTGGATAGGCAGTGAAGATGCTCTCCAGTAGGAAAATGGAAACTCTGCAATTAAACCATCCAGCTCAGTGATTACAAGAGGAGAAAAAACATCTACCTGAACTACTAATCTTCCCGTTATCTTTACAGATGAAAACCAAGAGATATGGGGAAGATGTTCCGTTTCATTTTGAAACTCTTCGTCGATGCATATCCACAGCTTCGATGGTCCTCTAACTGGTGTTCGTTTGTTACGCAATTTACCTTAAATATAGTCGAATCCCTGCGACTAAACACTTGAAAATTCTACTTTTCTTTTTAAGACTCTGTAGAGCTGATATACAGATAAAAATCTTAAGTACTTGGAGAAAGTCAACAACAGCTATTAATAACGTTTAGAGATTGGTTCATTATGGTAAAACGCATGTAGAACTAATCAATTTATTCGCTTCTGAGTTTATCAAGATGAGTTAGAACGAAATACACACCTTTACCTTCAATGATTATGAAATGGTGAATTATAAATGCGTAAAACTATGTACTACTGATTAAGTGAAATTGGTAATTGAATACCACCCAGAGCAACCAGTAGTGGTTATCAACCAGGTCAAAGTGATCTAACCAATGAACAGACGTTTCGCTCGTTTGCCACTGAGTTCATCAGCGGTGGACGTGACTTGACTTAGCTCAAAAAGCCTAATCAATAATGGCTTTCAAAGAATGAAACAGTTGTCTACCTGTAAAAAGCATCATCAGAATCTAAATAAAAAAATTAAATCTTCGTATTTTTATGGGGAAAACACTAATAACAACAAGGGAATCGATCAAGGTAAAGGTAACTTACCATTATACGTGATGTATAACTACTGTTGATAGATACACCATGAACCAACCGATGTCCAATTCTGTGATTCAAATCTTTCAACTTTGGTAACTCATCGGAGTTTCGAGTCAATTTCCCACCGAAATAACACTGGACAACTGTCATTCGATTTGTTGTTAAAGTACCTGTTTTATCTGAACAGATTGCTGTTGCATTACCCATTGTTTCACAGGCATCTAAATGTCGTACCAGATTATTATCCTGTAAAAAGAAGACATATTTCAAACTTTTATTCTTTACAATGATAATATATATGTATATATACTCCTGAAATATCCTTCAGTGAAATATGAATAAGATATGATAGGATATACAAACCATAAGAGTTTTCCGTTGCGTCTACATTGGGAAATATATGAAAATCAGGTTAAAAATGAAGGACTGAATAAAATTCACAGCAATGAAATATCTTATAGCAGCTAACATCATTTCAAGAAGTGTACAAAAGTTACTGTAAAATAGTTTAAACTAGAATCTAAAATTAAGAAATACGTAAAACTTCAATAAATTTACATCATATAGATAATAAATAGCGTAATAACTTAAGAAGACATTCGTCTGAAACACGTGAATTGAGGTAGTTTATTGGCTGGATGCTCAGCCAACTGCGTACGCAGAAGGTCTGAGTTTAACTCGATGGTGCGTCGTGGCACAGTGGTTAGGACTCTCGCCGACCATGCACATGGTCCTAGGTTCGATCCCCTGCCAACGCATATCTGATATCTTTGGTCGGCCTGCAAAATTTGGGCTACCGATATCCATGCTGAAACTTCCATACTTGTACCGAAAATACAGTGTGGAATCAAGCTGTAAATCAAAAGAAGATCAAAAAATCGAAACGTATTCTTAAATCTTATCTAGTCTGTCATAAGCTAGGAAAAGAGTGGAGGTTGGACATCAGGCTAACAAACGTACCCTGTAAGATTAAGACTGTTACCGTTGAAACTTAGAAAATGCTTAGAGCCTTATGTTACACTTACAATGTAAGAAATGAAGAAAACAATGAAGGATGAAATCCTGTTGATAAATAAGGAAATATTTTTCAGTAAACAATGTCCCATTTAGGTTGAAGAACTAGACAGTTGATTCATAAATTATTACTGAAAGCGAACTAAAAGTTACACTGTTTTAAATACACTTGCGTAAAACAGAAAATTATACAGAGAAAGAATGCTCGTCAACCACACACCATGTGGTCTGGAGTTCGATCCCCACCCCGACTGGCACACATACCTAAACCTTAATTAGCTGGCACAAAACCTACGTATTAAAGAAGAAAAGAGGATTAAGCATGAGACTAGCATCCCCACCTTGTAAAAAATAAACATCACTACTATTGAGACTTCATAGCTCAGGCTTCAAGCCCTATATGCCACTCGGAACGCAAAGAAATACAAAACATTTAGCAATAGTATTCCTGCATTAACAGCAAATCCACTTGTCTAATGTCTTTTAAATTCCTTATTTCTTGTATAAAGAAAAGAATGTGCTCATATCAAAATTATGCTACAGAAAGGAAAATATTAAAGTGCCCTTCTCTGAAATAGTCTGTCCACTAGAAAGTGAAACAAAGTACAGATAACTCTAGTGTTTCTGAGTAGCTCCAGTATTAAATATTTCTGAAATGTATGCATAAATGGTAGAATTGTCTACTCCTAATGCTTTGGTTTGTTATTTCATCCTTACTTACAAATTTACACTCACTTCATTCTTCTCTTATATATATGACAACTAGAAACCTGATGGGCGTCAACCGCCCAAGGATTAGCTCAGTTAATATATATACAAGATTTTAATCAATGCCTAAAACAACATTTTAAAATATTATAGGAGGAGAATTTGGACATTGGGAAAGAGTATAATGCCTTATATTCATATATATATATATATATATATATATATATATATATATATATATATATATATATATATATATATATATATATATGGACCATTGTTAACAGGATGATGATGTCTGGAGCACAAGTTAGTGCTCGTTATTATATTATTGTATTTATTTGACTTCCTATCTTCCTCTAATATAGTTCTACTTCGTCTTGCTTTCTTAATAAACTGTTCATATAACCGGCTGGGAATTGTATTACATCATTCTTGTTACATGTTTTAGGTGTTATTGATTTCGTGAAACAAATGACCACGTAACTATTCTTTCTCCACTTAATTATCCTAAATTTTCAATACTTTACTTTGTCTCACCATATCATGTGGTAATATGCAACTGTACGTATAGCAATGATTAAGCCCCCCACTGTTATATAACTTAGGGGAGTCTGTAATCCTAGATTCCGAAAAATTTCCATGTCTAACTGGCTCCAAACGACTGATTAAACCTATGTCGCTGATCTCAGAATCAGTACACAGTATTTGTTAAATTAAACTATTCTGTTTAATTTGAGTCATTTGTGTTCTAAAACCAACAAACGTTGTCTTTGAGTGGATGTATATATTCAGATGACACCTCTTTTCTGGGTTTACCAAGAATCTTACATAGATTTCTGTTATCCAGTATTTATATGGAAGTAATATACAAGCTAAGTGCCTTACTTATCCTATTATGGTCATTGTTACTTCTCAAGAGTTTGTTTTGTAAGGATAAGATTTGTTTATACGAGTTTGACCACGGATTGATATCAGATAGAGAACTTTTGGAAACCAGGGAGTACTAGACAGCTGTTTCATCCTAGTTTGGTAATTATCGTCAGGACAGATTTTCCCGGAGTTCTAGTGAGAAGTAGGGACCAGTGGGTACCATCCAGTGAAGGAGTGAGGATGGAGTTCCCTCCGATGACATTGGTTGGTGGTCACGCTAAATCACGAATTAGTAGAAATTCGAATTCATGGGCTGATCATTGAATAGGATAGCAATGGCTGAATGGTATACGAGCTTGGATTGTAACCAAAACGTCCTGGGTTCGAACTCCAATCGGTTGGCGCGTAATGCCTATAATTCCCAAACTAGTGGGATAAAACAGCTGTCTCGTAGTACTCCCTGGTTTTTATTGTTACTTCTGTTTATCCTTTGGGTACTTACAGTATTTCTTCTATCTGTTCAATTTCTTTGCCTGCGCTGTATGATTTGCTGATCAGACTCTTGGGTCAGTTACTTTGGTTATGTATCTATTATCAGTCAAGGCATATTTGGTTTGCACATTATAGTATATGCTGTTTGGCGCAATCTCAAAATAGAGTGAGGTTGCAAGGAAGGTACTTAAAAGTAATACATTGTGACCTATAGTGAATGGGATGATAGAGCATAGAACAATCAAATGACATATTTTGTTGTAGATGACTTAAATAATGCGCTAAATACTGTTTAAAAATAGTTTACCGACAAAAATAGTACCCTCGAAGATAAAACTTTTAATGAATAATATTCGTTGTACAGTTCAAGTTTGAAAGTGCAAATATTAACGGTTATGTCTTTTTATCTATCGATTTCTAAAGGAAATGACATTGGATTTTCTCCGATTAAAAAAACAACTGACTTTTCATGCTCTTTCACACACAGATGCGGTTCGGGGTTCAATCCCCGACCAGTGCACTCCTAGACCTCACTTAGCTGATAGCAACTTCCGTCAAGAGGGGAGGTTGGGCGTGAGGCTTACAAGTTAACCCCATGAGAAGAAACAAAGCCACTGAAACTTCAAAGCTCAAACATGAAGGCCTGTGACCCACTTGAAACTTAAACGAATAAAATAAATGAAATAATAGTAAACGCTCTTATTTTTTTCGGTCAATTGAACAGTCAATGATTGAAAATAACCTTAAAATCTACTTAATTAGTGACAGTTGCCTATTTTTCCTAAATGACAGACAACTTATTTATTTTGGCTCAATCTAGTTGATTACTTAAGAACTAACTCGATTGATGATGATGATGATTATGATGCAAATGGTGATATATATATATATAAAATCAGGACAGTAGATTGTGTACACTGCTAAGTCCTGTAATGTATATAGATAGATAGATACGAATACACGTACTAATGTGTATTCTTTGTGTGTCAAGTCAGTTAGCTAACATCACTGCATACCGTGTTGATCTCCTGTCACAATAAAATCACAGTTTATCTCCTGTCAAATTATGCACGAAATGTCAAAAAGCCAGCACAACAAAAAGCATAAACATAAATGCCATACAGTGCTTTTTGTAGTGAAAGAGGAAGAAAAGAGAACCAGGAAGGGAACCTCTTGCTTCTTTTCTTTTTTTTTCAGATTAATGACTGTTTAAGGAGTAATATATCGTCATAATGAATAAGTGGAAAAATACAGCGAAAAAAAGAGACAACAGTTTGTTTACTTCCTTGTGGAATAGATGGCAATAAAAAGGCAAGGCACTAAGAAGCGTTAGTTGAGATTAATAGAAGGTTGGAGTGTATTTCATTGTCAACTTTCTTTTTGTTTTGCTTTGTTTTACACGACTTGTTAGCACGAGAGAAAAGAATTATCATTATTTTCGTCATTTATTAGAAAAGAAAGTCATTATGATTTCGCAGTATCAGTGATGAAAAAGATTGTAGAACAGAGCTTTTATTCTATGATATCTAAGTATCACTTTATAAAGTGTATTCCATTTGCTCCGTATGTCGACGGTTTAACGGTAGAATGCTGGCGAACTACGCATAATGAGAGGTGTGCGTTCAATTCCTGACCAGCAGACTTCTAAACCTCGTCTGACGTGCCAGTAGTAAATCAAGAAAAGTGGAAAGATTAGGCGTAAGACTGGAAACTACATCTGACATCGATCAGCAGCATTGCTACTTAAACTTCAAAGCCTTAAGTCCCTACCTATATATTCTACTCGGAACCATTTGGATTGAAGTACTAATAAACGAGGTGCGTCGGTGGCACAGTGGTAGAATGCTAGCTGACCACGCATGTTGTCCGGAGTTCGATCCACTGCCGGCGAACTCCTTTACCTCGCTAAGCCAGTAATAAGACTGCTAACGAGGGAAGGTTGGGCATGAGGCTAGCAACCTCATCCTGTAGAAATAAACACCACTGCTACAGAAATTTCAAGTCTCTAGCTTGAAGCCGTACGTTCCACTTGGCACGTCAAGGAATATATATATATATATACTAATAAACGTTGGACAATTATTTCAGAAGAGGTTCACTGAGAACAACACTTTCAACTGACTCGTATTATTTTGCTTTAATTTAGGATTATAAAGCAG